TTGCTGGAAAATTTATGTAGATCATCAGATTATATGAGTTAAGGATTAACTGGTGGTTGTAATTAAGGTTGTTTGGGGTGAATATAAAGTGTTTATAGGTTATAATCAATTATAATGCATTTTGAGGGATTATTCTGATTATCTTATGCTATAATTAGATTATATCATTTACTGTTTTAAGCATCTGCTCCTTTTTATGTCTGTGCTACCCAAACTGTGCCAGGGTGCCCTAGGGCATTGCAGCAAATTCACCAGGAGGGCCACGGGAGAGTTTAAAATTTCAAGGGAAACATGGCGATACTCAGCATCTGTAGGACACCGTGCAAACTGCAAGCTCGAGGGAGTTCACAGTTTCCACTTAGATTGCACTGCATTCCTTTCAATGACGTCGTATCTTTGGGAAGCTGGGTTCTCAGCAGTTGGTGTGTAAGTACTCAGCAAGTACCAGACGAAAATCAGTGGATCAGAAAATCAGGGGGGTGGTATCAGAGATCTGCTGAGAATCTGTGCAGTGCCCAACACAATATGTATATATATTATACTATACACTACATATTATATATATTATATATAATATAAATATATATGTAAAATTTATAAATAACCTGATAGTTTGCACTTATGTTTTTTGGTCATCGTTTTTAAAAAATTATTAAAGTCGTTAATTTTTACAATAGACAATTCTTTAACATGATTCAAAATGCCAAAAGCATAATAAGGAACACTCGGAGAAGTTTCCCCCACCTTGTTGACAGCAGCTCTGTCCTCCTGGTTGCCCAGGCCAAGGCCTCGGAGTCGGTCGTGGCTTCTGTCTTTCCCACATTGAGAACTTCAGGAAATCAGGTCGGCTCTACTTTCAAAACATCTCCAGAATCTGCCTCCCTTTCCCTAGCTACACTGCTGCCACCCTGCTCAAAACAGGCTATTACTACACTTCCTCATAACTGTTCTCCCTGCTTCTACACTTGTGCCCACCCCCACCCCCCCACTAATCGTTTTAAACCCTAAGTTAAGTGATACCATCACCCCACCACCCAGAATCCTGCAACAGCTCCCATGTCGTTCAGATTAAAAGCGAGTCTTTCCAGTGACCTGCACGGCCCTGAAGGACCGCCCCTCCACCTTACCTCTCTGATCTCAGCTCTTAACTCTTTCTCCCTTCACCTAATGTGCTTCAACCATGCTGGTCTCCTTGCCCCAAGCATACCAAGCATGCCCCTGCCCCAGGGCCTTTGCAGTGGAATGCTGTATCCCTTATCTCTTTCAAACCTTGGCCCACTCTATTTTAAATACTTCAGGGACCCCCACTCTTAACACTGAGGGACATCCCTAGCTCTTCTGAGCTGCTCTTTTCCTTTTTTCCATAGCCTTCTAACATGGTAGATAATTTACTTCTAACATAGTAATTTACTAAGTTTGTTGTTTTATTTTCTGACTCTTCCCACTAAAATAACAGCTACAGGAGGGCAGGCATCTTCATCTGTTTTGTTCAACAATGTTTCCAAAACATCTGGAAGAATACTTAGCAATAATAGGTGTGTAGCAAATATTGAATGAATGATGTTCCATGTGTTGTTTAAAAATCTATATCTTAATTTTTTGTCTATTTGAACTATTGATGAAAGCATAGTCAAATCTTCCTCTATAATGATGGATTGTCCATTTTCCCTGAGGTCCTAACAATTTTGGCTCTATACTTGCAGGCTAATTAGGTACTTATAAAATATGAATTCTGTCTATCTTCCTGGCTAATTGAATCTCTTATCATTATGTACAGACCTTCTTTAGCCTTAATAATGCTTTTGTGTTCAAGTTATTAGTTTATCTGATATTAGTAAAGGTAAGCTAGCTTTTCAATAATTTTGAGTACTATGTAATATATTTTTTCTGTTCCTTAACTTGCAACCTTTTTGAGTTCTTACGTTTTAGTGTGTCACTTGCATATAGCATATAGTTTTTAATTCATTTTGACAATCTATCTATATATATATAGATAGATAGATAGATTTTATTTTTTGGTGAGGAAGATTAGCCCTGAGCTAACTTCTGTTGCCAGTCCCCCTCTTTTTGCTGAGGAAGATTGGCCCTGAGCTAACATCTGTGCCCATCTTCCTCTACTTTATATGTGGGATGCCTGCCACAGCATGGCTTGATGAGCGATGCACGGGTCTGCACCCGGGATCCAAACCTGCGAACCCTGGGCCACTGAAGCGGAGCTCACGAACTTAACCACTATGCCACCAGGCTGGCCCCGACAATCTGTATTTTTAACTGCAAGTCCATTTATGCCTAGTGTGATTATGTATATATCCAGATTTATTTCTGTCATTTACTTTCAATTTGTCCCACTTTTGCAATGCTTATTTTTTTCTTCTTTCTTGCTTTCTTTTTTAAAAAAGTTAGTTTTGTTTTCTTACTCTTTTTCCCTTCTACTAGTTTGAAAGTTATATACTCTGTTTCTATTCTTTTAATGTTTGCCCTTGAAACTTTACCATAATACTTAAAGTCTAAAGTTAATGTTTTAACCCTCCTCTTGAATAATATATGAACACTGTCTAACTTTCACCATCTATGTCCCAACTTACACACTGTTGCTGTTCAGTGTTTATTTCTGTCCTTTTTAGTCCTATAAATTAAGCATTATTACTTTATATAGGTGATGTTTACTTATATTTATCCTCATATTTACCAATTTATTTGCTTACTAATTCTTTTTTATCTCAGACCTTCCAGACACATTTACCTTCTTTCTGAAGTATAACCTTAAAGTCTAAATAATATGCTTCTAAAGCTTTTAAGTTCCCTTAGTGAGGTTTGTTGTAGCTAAGTTCTGGGTTTTTGTTTATATGAGAAAGCCTTCATTTTGCTCTCATTTTTGAAAGATAGTTTTGATGGATCTATATAACCTTTAGTTTAACTGCGGTGTATCTAGGTGTGGATTTTTTCTTAGATTGCTTGTATACATTAGGTATTATGTATCCACAGAATTGTGACTTTCATGAGCTGTAGAAAATTCTCAGCCATTATATCTCCCCCCCCCCCCCAAAGCCCCAGTAGATAGTTATACATCATAGTTGCACATCCTTCTAGTTGCTGTATGTGGGACGTGGCCTCAGCATGGCCGGAGAAGCGGTGCGTCGGTGCGCGCCCGGGATCCGAACCCGGGCTGCCAGTAGTGGAGTGCAGGCACTTAACCAACCGCTAAGCCCCGGGGCCGGCCCTCAGCCATTATATCTTCAAATATTGTCCCCTCTCCATATTCTCTATTCTCTTCCTCTAAGATTCCATTTAAACTCACTCCAAACTCCCTGTCTTAAATAATTTGGTTTTTTCTTAACCATTCTTTTATATGTTCCATTTCCGTTCTGTCTCTCTGTGGTATTCTAGGTAACTTCCTCAGATTGACCCTCCAGGATACCACTTGTCCAGTCTGCTGTGTAAGCCCTGGGTTAGAGGCTTTTTGTTTTGTTTTCAGTTCAACAATTATAGTTTTCATTTTGTAAAAGTTTTACTCAATTCTTCTTAAAATCTGATTGGTCATTTTGAAAGTCTCATGGTTTACTCATTTTTACTAGTCTATCTTTTACTTCATACATTTTACATGCAGTTTTTGTTTTCTCTTCTGTATCTGATCATTCTAATAGCTGAAGTCTTGAAAATAATCATCGGTTTTGTTTCTGCTGACTCCCACTCTGTTATCTTTGTGAGCTCATATTTGGTTGATCTTAATCTGTGGGAATCCAGAGGCCTGTGTTGCGCATGCTTTCCTCTAGACACATTTGCATTTACTTTCACCAGGTGTTGGTACCACTTTCGCCTCCTTCAAGGGTCCTAGTTTAATGTTGAAGCCGTCACTTGAGCTCTCCAGCTTTCCTTTGACCCAACTGAGTGTTGAAATTGGCAGCTGTCTTCAGAGAAACCCCTCCCTTCACTCTGGCTTGATGGTCACCACATTCCGTATGGATTAGGCTCACTTTGGGGGAAAGAAGGCGTCTTGAAGATTTTCTTTACTTTCTATGAACCCAGCGATGTGTTAACAACTTTGCTTTATCAAGGAACTCATTTGTGTGTTTGTTTTGTTTTGTTTTTGTAACTGAGAACCCTTCCAAGTAGCTTCCATTTTACTGGACGTATAAATCTTTAATGTGGTTTTTATTACGAGCAAAAAGGGAGATAGAGCTTAGGAACCAAGATGCAAAAATAATTAACCGAGAGAAAGTTCAGTTTTTTCAAAGTCATGTGTCAAAAGCTGTCCCTGCCATTCACTGGAACATAGACGGAACTTGGTTCAACCCTTTGTCCTCTGTAACCACATCTTTGCTTTTGCTCTTGACATCTCTCCAACCCATCTCCTTCTCTTTTAGTCCCAGAGCCATATGTCTCCTTCCTTTTCTTCATGAAGGTTCCTCTTCTGGTAAATTCATGCTTCACCCCAAGACTTATTTTTAAACTTAGTTCCTATAAGAAAAGTAAAGACTACAGGAATGACAGTGTTGCTTTTTGAGTACCCAAAAGTGTAAGGAAATAGTCAAATCCATCTATTCAACCACTATTTATGTCAGAAATTAAAAAGCCATCTTTCTCAGATAACATTTTCTTTACAGAGGGAAGTTGTTCTGGACATGTGATCAAAGGGGCTCTGGGTTGGGACTCTGGAGGAGAAATGGGAAGATTGACGCAGAGAAACAGGGACAGTTGGCCATGAGGGTTCACCCTCTAGAATTCCTCCCTTGCCACTGCCATCCCAGAGGCCCCCATAGGCCCAAGAGCAGACAGAGATGAGCAGTGGGAGTTGGAGCTGGATGTGAGGTGGGAGGCAGTGGTGAAGTCTGATGGGAGAGTGAGCAAAACAAGAGAGATGAGCTAGGATAGGAATAGGGAGGAAGGTGGGCCAGAGAGTTCTTGTGTCTTCCAGGTTTTCTTTGCAAGATACACGTTCAAGTCAAGCACTTCCCACCTAGATAGTAATAACCTGTGCCATTTATTTTATATTTTTCTAGATCAATGAACTGAGCCATGTTCAAATCCCTGTTATGTTGATGCCAGACGACTTCAAAGCTTATTCGAAGATAAAGGTGGACAATCACCTCTTTAACAAGTAAGTAAAGTAACAACTTTTTCTAGAACTGACTTTTTCTAGAACTGATGTGGCTGCCAGAAGTATGATTTTTGTGAATTTCTATAACCCATTATTTTTCAATGGGTGGGAGTAAAGTTTTGCTGATGAAGTTAATCCTGTGATAAACATAACCATCTGTCATTTTCAGAAAAGCAACAGCAGTCCCTCTTGGGTAATATCCTTTTGCCATATGGCATATCATTCTCTATGAATATCTTATATGTTAAAAGTGATATTCTCATTACAATTTAAATGTTTGAAGCTGTAAATTGCTTGGATTTCTGAGCAGCTATGGACCTTAGCTATCTTACACAAAACTCTGATAACGATTACTTTCTGAGCAGAACTGACTACTTCATAGAACAAGAAAGAATTAAGGTGCATTTTTATAAAACATAATTGGATGCCATATTGGACATTGAGAATATTTCTCCTTCATTTGAATGTCATTTTATGTTAGGTAGTCCATTGACAGCCGGATATACAAAGACGTATGAGACATGCCCTGCCCTCAGGGAGCTTACAGTCAGGCGGGTGGTTGGAAAATGACACAAATTACTATAATTTGGTATGCAAAGTACCACAATAGAGGGGGGATATGTGTGTGTGTGTGTGTGTGTGTGTGTGTGTGTGAACACAAAGGAGGAAGCAGTTCTGAAGAGTAGGATGAGCCTCAAAGAAATCCTTCCCACATGAGGATCAATTATGAAATTTCTTAGTGGGGCCATTGTTCTAATGTGAAGCTAACGTGTTACTTCTTCTCATAATACTGTTTAGAGGTTGACCGTTTGAGGGGACCTTTTCTATGTGAATTTAACGTGGTATTTATATAAAACATAAAATAGGTCGTTCAAGGAGTGAGATGGTGTTGTTTTGTAAGCTCTAATCAGCTAGGAACTGAGGACTAGTGTGGGGAGCGCTGTTTGTGGCTCACTCTGCTGCCCTTCCCTGACTCTCCAAGCTCTCAGCTTTCCCTTCCCTGTTCCCTCTGCGTGGCCCCTTCCTCTCCACCTCTTCTTCCTTGAGGAAGCGGCTGTAACATGTGGTCAGGATGAAAAAGGTCCTAGAGTCCCAGCACCCCTAGAAGCTGAGAAGAGACAGATGTTGTCAGTCTGCCCCTCTGTCTCCCGGATCGTACTGTGGGTGGCAGTTGGTTCTATGAAGCACATCTGTGCCTTCTGTGGGTCGGGAACTCCACGCGCTTCTTTGGCAACATGTAGAACTAGATGGTGGTGTTACCACCCAAGGTGGGTCGTCTGCCCGCCACCAGACATGCCAGTAGTCGAGAAGCAAGGTGGAGGAGAGAAAGGGTTTTATTACAGCTTGCTAGCAAGGGGGAAGATGTCCGACTAATGTCCAAAAGAACCATCTTACAGAACAAAGACCACAGGCCAGTTATGTAGGGGGCTGGTCTCCAGGTGGGGCAGACATCTGGTCTCAGTTCCTGATCATCTTTTGTTTTACTGGATATGCATCAGAGACCAGAGCAATGCCCTATACTCTGATCTTTCAGTTATGGTTGACGATGGCTATCAGCATAGACTTTCTGCCCAGGGGTCACCACGTTCCTAAGGAACTCAAAAGAACAAAGTTATCACCTTGTCGCAGCTGGGAGGGGCCATAAAATCTACAGAGCATGTATACCTCCTGGAGGGTGCAAATCCGGCTGGGTTAGTTAATCAGAGGTCACTCAAAGTTACAATATGGTTTCTTTTGTACAATATGGCTTCCCTTATGTCAACCTGTGTTGAGCCGGTATCAGTGACAGATTCAAGTCTGGTTAACTCTTCGTCTTTCTGAGCTTTATTCCACAATATGACTGTTTCAGAGAAAACATGCCGAGCCATTTCAAGTTTAAGGAGTACTGCCCGATGGTTTTCCGTAACCTGCGGGAGAGGTTTGGAATCGACGACCAAGATTTCCAGGTGAGTTGCTTTTGTTAACAATTGCTTCAAATGCGTTTCATCATGCCTTTTGCTTTTAATAAGTGGGATTTACATTTTTGTCATTACAAGTAATTATATATAGTAATTTCATTTTACGTAAGGAATTTTTAATGTTCTTTCTGAAATAAAGGGTTCTTTCCGTTGGGGACTTCTACACAATATGATTTCAGTAGTTGGTAGGAAAAGAAATTATCCTTTGGGAGAGTTTGATATAATGTGTCCACAGCCTGTGCAACTGTGCACATGTGTGTTGAATTCACATTTCCTGTATTTGCAGAGGCCACTTTGGAATCTTAGACATTTATTTTTGTTCTTGCTGATTTGCTGCTTTTCAAATTGGCCAACCCTGCCTCTTGCCCACAGCGTTTTTGTCAGAGGCCACACTTGTGCACTACGATGGGGCGTGGTCGAGTGACTGCAGCACTCTTGTCACCCACAGGAGCCCACCATCCCGGGAACAGTTCTGTGGAGCACCTTGCTCTGCTCTTGGTCCCCACCACGTAAAAAATGTGCCTGTTTCTCCCAATATTTGCCTGGTTCTCAATTTTACCTTTTAAAATTGAGATCATGGTGCTGTCTTATCTGTTGATCCGTGGTCATTTTTCCTAAGAAAGGGCTTGCCATCAGTTACCTGATTTTCACATAGCCAACCACATTCGTAAAAGCCAAGAAAGAAATCCAGGTTAGGAGATGCAAGGGCTACTTTCTGGTCTTTTACGACAGTCTCTTTTTTTTTTTTTTTACTGTGAGAGGACTGACTGACTTTAAATCCCTTCAAATCTAGTAAACACTTTCCCTCATTTGCCCTCAATGGGAAATCCTAATTAATCCTGCATTAAGTGCCATATTACCATCCTGGGTGACCTTACAAGTTGAATATTGGCACGGCTTACCCTGTATTTTTCCTTAATGAAAAGGGTCCCTGAGGCAAATCAAGCTTAGTGAGTACACTTTCCTGAAGATTTGTGGGCCTCCCCGCCCTGCCCTGCTCCGTTGTTGCAAGTTTCCAGGCACTTCTCACATGCTCACTCAGGCATGAAAGGCCTCCAGGCTGCCATGTTCTGAAAAAGCAGTGCTGGCTAGGCTGCCGGTGACATTCCCTCCTCGGTGGACCGGGGCCAAGGCTTCCTTGGAGGCCCTGGTTCTGAGAGGCTCAGTGCACCCCACAGAGGGCTGAGGGGGAATGGGACAGGGGGGATAAAGAGGCCAAATGAAAATAAACTGAGTACTTTAAAAGGAATGAAAAAGCTGATGATAACTTTGACGTCTGAAGAAAATCTCTGCCTGACTCTCCCGTGCTAAACTCAGGTGTGTTCCTTCCTTCATCCCCTCTTTTTTTTGAAAAAATAAAACGGGGGCCGGCCCCATGGCATAGTGGTTAAGTTCAGCACTCTTCAGTTCAGCAACCCAGGCTCACGGGTTTGGATCCCGGGCTCAAACCTGCACCACTTGTCAGCCATGCTGTGGGGCAACCCACATACAAAATAGAGGAAGATTGGCACAGATGTTAGCTCAGGGCAAATCTTCCTCAGCAAATAAATAAATAAATAAAATTTAAAAATAAAACAACTACACAGGCATTTCACAGAAACTGACTTTTGGGGGCCTGTGCTACAGGATCTTGTTAGATTCCTCCATTCATTACCAAAATGAAGTGCTTGTATTTCTTCTCATAATCAGCCCTGTGAAATGAGATCTAAAATGGACCCGTTACATTCCTGAATTCTATCCTGCAGTAGATAATAGTAGTTTTTTAAATTCCCTAAAATGACCAATTTAGTGGCTGAAATACTACCACCTTTTTTCCCCCTGAAAACAAAACCACGGAAGTTGATATTTAAGTAAGTGCAAATTGCTGAGTACAAAGTCTGAAGGCAAATTAGGCAAGCGGAGGATGATTCACACGTTAACTAATTGGCAAGTCTGTTAAGCTCTTAGTCTGCGAGATCAGTATAGAGGGGAGATGGTGTGGGTATAATTAATCATTTGAACGCCCCTCCTTTCCTCAGCTATGCCTGGTGCTCTGGGCATTTAAATTGCTGCTTTCTCTTTGGCAACTGTATTTCTGTTAAAAAAAAAAAAAAAAGGTGGATGTTTCGAGATACACTGGTTTCCTTCCTCAATCCTGTGTTCCTTTCCCAGTGTCCATACCTCTTGAAAAACGTTCAGCCAGGGCAGGGCCCCTGAGTTCAAACTGAGGATAACATTATAACTGTGGGGACTCCACCCACTTGGTTGGCTCCTTGGTTTGGAAAAAAAGAGAAGTTGTGCCAACTCGGGCTCTGGGTGCGTGCCTCGAGGGCCCCTTCGCACTGCAGGGGTGAAGGCGGAGGCTGGCAGGGGGAATAGGCCAGGAGCAGAGGGCCCTGTCATCTCAGCTGCTTGGCACCTGGATGCACCACTGCCCAGATGTTTCATTGGTTGTGGCCAGAACGAGGAACAGGTATCAGTTGACACACATAGTACCAAATTGAAGACTTTCTCAATCGGATTCGAGAAGTGGGATCAATGACCTGGGGTCTCATCATCTTTTGGGGGCACTGGATTGCCAAAGGGGACTAGGCCTCACCCTGCTCTGCTTTACCTTGCTGTGTTTATTTTTCCAAAGTGCTTGCTTGTCGGTCAAGCGACTTTAAACCACCGTGGCGATAAGGAGATCAACTGTCTGGTTCATTTAGTATTCAAACCTGATTCATTTATATTCAAACCTTCACATTAAATCACACGGATAAATGGTCTCTACCTGCCGTGTGTGTGTGAATGTCTTTCTGCTGCACCTAAAAAAAGTCAATATCGATCAATATGATCAAAGGAGATCACAGTCATGAGCCCACCTAATTGACCTCTGTCAGCGGACTGAAACTTCTTGAAAAGAACTAAAAGCATTCCTGCTGTCCCCGTAAACATTTGTATCTTTTCTTTGGCTTTGATTTCTCAAATGTCTTTTAAAAATAAAACTTCTTTTTCTTGCTATCGAAGACAAATTCAAGCAACAGTTCTAGAATATTCATCATTAATAACAGTATCACCTAACATACAGATGTAAACCTGTTTGTGTGTGTGTACACCCAGTGCCTTGAGATTCAGAATTTTCTTCAACTTATTAGTGCTTCTTAAAATTACCTCATTGGTTTGTAATATGCTCAGAGCTGAATTCTGTTCTACTGATCATTGTTGGGCGAGTGCGACTCCCCATTACCATACTTTTAAGATAAGATGTCTTTCAAGATGAATGCCCCCACGGAGGCCTCCACTGTTACTGTTGCTGTAGTTCTTTTCTGCCATCACCACTGCCGCCTTCGGCTCTGGTCTCTCTTAGGTTGGTGATTTCATGCACAACTATCAACTCAATGTGTGTTTATTTGCCACTGTGCTAGACATAGGGAATGCAGAAGAGAAGAAAGGGTGAAGGAATTTATTTTATTTTATTTCTTTACTATTACATGCCAGATTGTGTACTAGATGGTAACGAGAGTTACAGAAACCCAGACATCTTGATTTTGAATGTTCTTCAAGAATATCTGCATCCCTCTTCCCAGTCTCTCAGAGTATCAGAACCTCTTATAACAGGCCTGGGAAGTCAAGGGGAAGCTTCAATTGAAGTTTCTGAGCTGCAGGAGAGGATGGCCCAGCAGAAACCAAAAGGTTATGCAGGATGGAGATAATGCAGTTAAACCCAAATACACCACATAATTGAAGTCGAGCCCTCTTGTTCTTTGTGGAGGATAATACCAGGTTTACTTCTCCCCCACTGCGTCTCCTGAATTAGAATCCCTCATTATTTGCATCTGATGCATTTTCTTCTTTGTATTCGTAACAGAGAATTCTAATTTTAAAATAATTAATTTTAAAAGCTAACTTTTTAAACTTTTGATGTTCTTGTTTCAAGTTTAAAAATAGAATTCTGAATTGTTAAGACCCTTCAGAGTTTACTAAACTTTGAAAGAAAAATTCTGCCAGTATCTCTAGAATATAAAGTCTATCGCTTTGTTTTCATATGTAGATGTCCCAAATATGATTTCAACTGTCTGAGGGCAGGAACTGAGTCTAGCGTGTTTACCGGGCTGTAGGCCCAGAGTTTAGCACCACTCTGGCTCTGGGCAGGTGCTTAAGAAATATTTGTGGAAGAAAGAAAGGGAGGGAGGGCTGAGGGGGGCATAGCAAGAGAAGTGAGCCTTCTGGGCTGAAGCGTTGGGCGGGAGACCTCAGGAGATGTGCAGCTACTGGGTGGTGGGGGGATTGTGGGAGATCAAGATGGAAGGTGGAGAGTGTGGACATCAGCTGAAGACCTCAACCCGATTCTTCAGCCTGAGAGCAGCCCTGCTAATTTGGCACAGGGCAGTGATGTGGTGACATCTGGATTCTCTGAAGATAATTGAGGTGGTTATGTATAGAATGCATACAAGGGAGACGAAGTTAGGAGGCCATGAAATATCTCAACGGGTGGAGTAGAGGCCAGACCAGGGCACTTGGCACTGATAGAGTCAAGCAGAGAGCAGCTTCACAAGGCAGGGAGAAGAGAAAACTGACAAGAGTGGTGGCTGATGGTCCACAGGAGCCGGGGCCGGGAGCTGGAGGTGTTGGGGCCTGAGACGCTGGGAGAGCAGGGGTGCCGCTCGCTGGGGGAGGGAAGATGGGGATGGGGAGGAGAGAGGAAGATGAAGCTGAGCTTTTAGCCTCTTGAATGTGGAGGTGACCTTGGGGTGCCTGTGTGTGGCTGGTCGTCACGCAGTTGGGCATCCCAGGTGGTGCTCAGGATTGGGACAAGGAGCAGAGGCCCAGGTGTGGGAGGGATCGGCAGAGAGGTGCTGGTCTCTCCCCACTCCTCCTGTGCTGTCACCACCCTGAATTTGCTTACTCCTTGAACCGTATAAGCTCTTCTGTTGCTTTGTAACAGTCTGTTGTCTCTTGGGTTTGCTCAGCCTGCCCTGTCACTGTTCCTCCTCACAGCTGAGCTGCCGTGAACCTCACAGTGGATG